AGCGAATACTGATCACTTTTGGTAGCTCCCCCGGAGGGAAAGAGTGTAATAGTGTCACAACCCCTTTTTATAAGGAACCGAGAACATTATTTCTACATTACATACTTATTTAAGATAAATAAATAATAGAGAATATAAGTATAAAATTCACTACTCATTCAAAATAAAACAAAGTTTCTTACAACAAATATCCAACAGAACAACATAATATTACATTTAGTTCATAATATTCAAAATACACAAAATTGTACTATGTAGCTCCCTCTACATGAGGTCTCAAAATATAAGGAAAAAGGACTTTGATGCAATATTACTTGACTCAAGCTTCTAATATTTCTTCACTGGCCCCTTAGCCTGTGAAGTAGATGCAACACCTACTACATCTGCTCACATACCATCGTACGATCATTGCAGTACACACGCACACAACGACATAGAAAGAAATGTAAGGGTGAGCTTACAAAAATAAAATAAAATCATATATGTGGAGCAAAATATTTCTCACAGCAATAGCCCCATGCATTTCCAGTCCATCTAATGCACAGCATGAAAACGGTTTCCAACTGGTTTCACAGCCTAAGTAATCTAGAAGGAACCGAGCCGGTCCGGGAGCGACCCATTCCGGTACCTGGATCCAGACAGCACAGCACAGTAGCTCAGCATGAACTTACCGTTACACGTCTACCCACTTAAACATGTAACTCGACTCTATAATGATGCAAGACATATATCTCAGCATGATGCACACCACTAAAATTATTTTAACAGCTCAGCTAAGGCAAGTTTAAGATAGATCAGCCAAAATCTCAGCATTTTAAATCAATTAACAGTAGTTACAGCTTAGAAAATAGCTTTTATTCAATAGATCTAACAAAATCATATAAAAACATCTTGAAATAGCATATTAAACCATTCAAAACGTAGTTCATTGGTTAAAGTAAGCTTCCCTTACCTCAGAACAATGATTCACACTAGATCTACCAAATATTACTTGTTTTAACGCAAGATACACTGAAGATTTGGCTTTAGAACGGAGTTTCTCCTAAAATATCATCAACTATCCATAAAAAAAGAGAAGAAAAAGAGAAATGAATGGTAAATCTAACTTCAAACTTATAGAAACTTACTTTAAATCCTTCAGAATAGACGTAGAACCTCAAATCTGGCGAGAAATCTAAGTTTAAGAGTGTTTAATATGAGAGAAAATGGTGGTATATGGCCTTAGAACCTTTGAGAAGCTTGGATATGAGTAAAGAAATGAAAATTTCGTGTGAAGCCCCCTTTTTATAGAAAGTTTTTGAAATTTACTGTTCACCGCCGGAAACATTGTTCACCGCCTTACTGTTCACATTGGAAACATTGTTTAGGATACTATTCACGCAGAAATACTGTGCATACGTGCTGTACACGCACTGTACGCGTACGTGACGTCAGCCATGACGTCAGCAGTCACTGTACATATGCGGTTTGTACTGTTCATAGGCGGTTTTACTATTCATTTGACACTGTTCATACAGTACTGTTCACTTTTTTTTTAATAAATAAATTCCAAACTCCATCTAAATCTATTCCAATACCAAATAATCCTTCAATTAACATTTAACAAGTATAAAATTTTATAGATTACTCAATAATAAATCACAAACCTGACAAATAGCCCTGCAAGGAACCTGTTGCTAATGAGTTACTGAGCTAAGGATTTACTGGATACTCCCTTAGTTAACTGAAAGCAAGTGAGTGATCCTCTTTTAGCAAAAGCATGGTCAGGAGTATTAGTAAGAAAATGAGTGTGAGGCATGTGGTACTCTTACTCTCATTTGTTTTGTGCAATTCAAGAAGAGTATCCACCACCCTCATTTCTCCAAGATTTCTCAATCGTCTCCATCTTCCACACTCCTAGTGTACCTCTAAACTATCCATACTCGTCCTTATCATATTCCTTTCTCATTTCATTTCTTTTTTCATATTTCTCATCTCATCTCTATATTTTTCATTATATGTTTACTAACATATTATTCATGCTTTTATCTCTTTATTTTATTTTAATTCTTTATTACATCATATATCAATTAATCATTGCCAAGAGTTCGTCCCCTCAGATTCAGTCCATCACATACATGCATATACACTCAATACAAGGGTCATACACTTCATCAACATCAGAAAACATGCTTCAAACATAACAAAAATATGTTCTCATCCAACATATACTGAAAATTTTGCATTTCATCACAGCATTTTCATGAATACAAGCATACCACTTTCTTAGTAACAAGATAAAGCTCTTTTTACCTTGAAATAGAAGTTTAGTAAAATGTTTTCAATGGATCTCGCCTAAAATATTGGTTCTTCCTAAATATCATAAGAGTTCATATTTAGAAGAGGAAAAATAAGAAAATATCCAAAGAAATGGGGAACCAAGCTTCAAGGGCTTACCAAAGAACAAGGAAACTGAACTTCCAAGCTTTGATCGGAGAAAGGTTGAGATTTTTCAAGGATTTGCTGAGAAAATAAGGAGAAAAGTCAGAGAGAACGTAGAAGTTGTGACTTGAATTATAATCCAAGTTTCGCAACTTGAAAACCCTTAAATATCCCACAACTTATGACATTCTCGTTACAGCGAGCGATTCTCGCTACAGCGAAAAAACCAGACAAAATTGCACTTTTCTATCTGACATTCTAGCTACAGTGAGAACTTTTCGATACAACGAGAGCATCTTTGCTACAGTGAGAAAACATCAAAATGCTTGATTCTGTACATTGATTTCTCACTACAGCAAAAAATCCTACAACTCACACATCTAAAACTCTCCTAATTTCAAGCAACATGCATTAACAACTCACACCAAATACAAAATTAATAAATAATAAAATAAGGCTATTACACATGAGGCCTTACACATATAGGTGAATAGTTATCGGTTAACCCATGCACATGAATACAACATACAATAACAAATCCTTAGCAAAAGTATAGTCAAGAAATGAGTGTGAGGTCTGTGATGCTTTTACTTTCATTAGTTTATGCATAACTACTACAAATAACAGTCACCACCCTTATTTCTCACTTCATCATGTATGCTTAGGCGAAGTTCATTCTCGCTCAAGCGAGAAAACCATAAAAAAATCAGCTTTGATTTCTGCATTTTTTGCTCAAGTGAGGTAATTTCCGCTTGAGCGAGACTTGAAATTTTTGATGACTTCAGCAAATCTAACTCATCTTTAAAAAATTCATAAAAAATAAATAACAACTCCAAATCTAGCAAACTATATATGTATTTTAAAGTTCCAGATGTGTAGAATCGATATAACATATTTTAAGTTTATATTTATAGTTTTATTTTAATTTATAAACACTTTTAATATACTTTGTTTTTAGAGTTTTTACCATTTTCTACTTATTGGAATAAATTGAGCTTGTTTCAAATAAATGCTTTAATTTTATATTTTCGGTTATTCTGATCTCTGACTACTCTTTTGGTCATAACTTTTTCTTATAGATATTTCTCTTAGCTGATTTCAGCTGCATTAGATTCTACACATCCAAGGCTTCAAAATGCATAAATGGATTGCTAAATTTGGAGTTTTTTTTTTTTTTTTATGATTTTTTGAAGTTGAGACAGTTTTTTTAAATATTGTTGCGGGATTGCATTTGGGCCCTTTGTTATTAGATAATTGTAATTGAACTTATAGTTATAATTAAGGCCCAAATTTTGGCCATTTAGTTTACCCTATTCAGAACCTATAAATAAACTACTGAGGTTCTGAATTAGGGGTATAGATTAGACACTTTGAGTTTTTTAGATTTGGCCAAAACAAGAATCCTTGTTTTTACTTTCTCTCGAATTCTCTTGTTCTCTTCTCATCCTTGCATGGGTTAAGTGCTTCGATGGAAGACTAAACCTCCCGTTCAATTCACAGAATTAAAATGTTGTAATTCTGATTTTGAGTTTTGAGCCAAATTGCTCCGAATTTGTTTCCTTTTTCTCTAACCTCAGATTTGTGTATTGCGATCGTGATTAACTTTTTTGTTGTTAGAATTCAAATTAGGATTTGATTGATATTCTAATTTGATAATTAATTTGTGTTACGCCCCGAATTTTGCAATATTAATTATTGTTATTTATATAAATCTAAATGTATGTATATGCGTGTGTTAATTTACTTGATAATGATGTTTATGTGTATTAAGTATATGGATGTGTGTATTGTGTGTATGCATGACTGGATAAGCTTGAAATGGGCTAAGTGCTTAAGTGCAGGGCGTGATACTGGGATGTTCTCACTGCAGTGAGAGGGCCCTGGGAGGAAGGACCAAAACTGTCGCTTTCTTGTTGTTGGAAATCCAATTTCTGGGACATGTAGTGTCGAAGGAAGGAATCATGGTAGACCCCACAAAAGTGGCTAAGTGGCTGAGGCCGACGAATATGACAGAGGTGCATAGTTTCCTTGGATTAGCGGGCTATTATAGGAAATTCATTGAGGGGTTTTATAAGATCGTGTTGCCCTTAACAAAGCTGACCCACAAAGGGAAGGAGTTCAAGTGGAACAAGGGATGTGATGCTAGTTTCTTGGAACTGAAAATAAGATTGACCTCGGCGCCGGTGTTACTGCTGTCTAACTTGGAGCAGAAATTTGATGTGTATTGTGATGCATCCGGGCAAGGACTTAGTTATGTTTTGATGCAAGACAGGCGAGTAGTTGCCTATGTCTCAAGACAGTTACGCCCGCATGAAGTCAACTATCCAACTCACAATCTGGAGTTAGTCGCGGTGGTTTTTGCTCTTAAGGTATGGAGGTACTACCTGTATGGGGCGAGGTTTAAGGTGTTCAGTGATCATAAGAGTTTGAAGTATCTGTTTAATCAGAAGGAGCTGAACATGTGCCAGAGGAGATGGATGAAATTCCTCAAGGACTACGATTTCACATTGTCTTAACACCCTGGTAAGGCAAATGTGGTAGCCGATGCGTTGAGCCGGAAATCATTGCACGTGGTAACAATGATGGTGAAAGAAATAGAGTTAATTGAGGAATTTCGGGACATGAATTTGGCCAAGGAGGTGAGGCCGGGGAGTTTGTATCTCGAAGCGGCGACGATTCACAATGACTTTTTGGTGAAATGCTCAGCAGGAAGATGCCTTCTTGCAAGACATGATGAGACAGAAGGGTGAGGGGAAGGACTTGGAGTTCCACCATGATGAGAACAGAGTGATCAAGTTTCGGAACCGAGTGTGCATTCCTCAAGTGGATGAGCTGAGATAGATGATGCTTGAGGAAGCGCATAAGAGCAGGATGAGTTTTCACCCCAGTGCAACTAAAATGTATCAGAACCTCTGGAAGAGTTTTTGGTGGAGTGGAATGAAGAGAGATGTGGCCAAATATGTGGCTAAATGCCTAACATGCCAGAAGGCGAAGGTAGAGCACCAGCGTCCACCTGGGTTGTTACAGTCGTTGGAGATCCCTGAGTGGAAATGGGATAGTATCTCCATGGACTTTGTTTCTAGGCTGCCTAAGACTAGAAACAACCATGATGCCATCTGGGTGATAATAGATCGATTGACTAAGGCTGCACACTTTCTCCTGATCAACACAAAGTATAAATTAGAAAGACTTGCAGAGTTATATGTGCAGGAGATAGTCAGGCTGCATGGAGTACCAACTAGTGTGGTGTCAGATAGAGATCTGAGGTTTACCTTGAGGTTTTGGGAGAGCCTGCAATGGGCATTGGGGACTAAGTTGAGACTGAGCTAAGCTTATCACTCACAAACTGACAATCAGATAGAGCGGACCATTTAATCCCTGGAGGACTTGTTGAGGGCTTGTGTGCTCGAGTAGCAAGGAACTTGGGAAGAGTGCTTGCCGCTAGTGAAATTCACGTACAACAACAGTTACCATGCTAGTATTGCAATGACGCCATTTGAGGCCTTGTATGGGTAGAGGTGCAGGACCCCGTTGTGTTGGTATGAAACGGAGAGGCGACTCTGTGTGCGCCGAATATGATCCAAAGGTAGAATGAGCATATCAGAATGATAAAGAGAAAATGAAGGCTGTGCAAGACAGGCAAAAGAGCTACTTTGATAAGAGGAGGAAACAGTTGTAGTTCCAAGTGAGGGACTATGTGTTTCTGAAGGTCTCGCCTGTGACCGGAGTTGGGAGGGCTCTAAAATCTCGGAAGCTGTCTCCTAAATTTATTGGGCCATTTGAAATGCTAAGTAGAATTAGTCCTACTGCATACCAGATTGTGTTGCCTCCGAATCTCTCAAACCTACATCTAGTGTTCCATGTGTCACAGCTTAGGCAATATGTGTCAGATCCTTCCCATATGATAGATCTTGACCTGGTTTAAGTAAGAGAAGATTTTTCATACGATGTATACCTGGTGAAAATTGCTGATCACCGTGTTAAACAGCTGAGGGGCAAGGACATCTCACTGGTGAAGGTAATATGGAGCTCAAGTGATGAGGGAGATGTCACATGGGAAACAGAGAGTAGAATGAGAATTGTATCCGGGATTGTTGGTTGAATTTCGGAGACAAAATTCCTTATAGGAGGGGAGAGCTGTAACGCCCTAAATTTTGTAATATTAATTATTGTTATTTATATAAATCTAAATGTATGTATATGCGTGTGTTAATTTACTTGATAATGATGTTTATGTGTATTAAGTATATGTATATGTGTATTGTGTGTATGCATGACTAGATAGGGCTGAAATGGGCTAAGTGCAGGGCGTGATACTGGGCTGTTCTCGCTGCAAAGAGAGGATTTCTCGTTGCAGCGAGAGTGCTCTGGGAGGAAGGACCAAAACTGTCGCCTTCTTACTGTAGCAAAAGACGTCTCGCTGTAGCAACAGAGTGACAGTTTGGGGTGCATTTCTGGGTGTAGTCTCGCTGTAGCAAGAGGGTCTCGCTGTAGCGAAGGAGAATATCTCGTTGTAGTGAGAGTGTCGTGACTAGAAAAGGATTTATAGGGGGTTAGGGTTCAGGGAGGGTTATTTCTCCCTCTCCCTTCGAAATCCTTTCGATCCTCTCATTCCCAAACCCTTTTCTACCTATTATATTGCCTCCAAAGTTGTTCGTGAACTAGATTGAAGATTGAATTTAAGTGGGGAACGCTTGGAGGTGAGCTTTAATGCTTAGGGTTTCGGTATTTTATCCCCTTTCTCTGTTTTCGTGGTTTCCTTGGGTTCTCATGGAGTTTCTCCATGTGTTTAGGACGAAATCTGTGAGGGGGAGCACTTCTTGGTGGATTTAGCGTGTAAGTTTTCAATCTGAGGTAAGGGGGGACTCTACCTATCTCAATGTGTTGGAATTCTTGTGTGTTTTGTTGATTAATGCAATGTGGCTGAGATAGAGAGTAGGAATTGTGTGTTTGATGGAAATTGGTGTGCATTGTGATGTGTGCTAGAATAGTTAGGCCTCGTGAGAGAAATTGTGTGTGATGGAATGCCATTGATTGATGAATTAATGAATATTGTGAATAAATGTGGGCCCGAGGGCTGTGTAATATAGATGAATATGCGCCATGTGCCATGTAATATGAATTAAATATAAGTTGTGTGTCATGTGCAAGCATGAATATTGCGCGTGTGAATGAAATGTATGTGAATGGGGCGTGTTAGCGTCGTTGTAATGTGTTGTGAATAGTTTAGCGATACACTGGGGGTTGTGGGGATGAAGACGGTAGAAATACCTTGGGGAGGAGAGAGTGGTGGTGACACCGACTGTGGAACGAGTGCACCACGGGCCACACACTCTCTTCCTGACTAGACCACTACCTTTGTTAAGCGACCCATGACTGCCCACGTGGTATCTGTGAGGTGGGGGTAACCGGAAACCATTCATAGTGGAAATCTGTGATCACAGTGCCACAGTGAGTGTGGCTGGTGTGCATATACACGAGTTTGTGTATTGTACTTATGGATGTGAAATGCTGTCTGTGATTATATTTGTCTAATGTATTGAAAATGTGTTGGAGGTGAGACTCTATGTTGACTGTGTGTTTTGAGTAGTGTATAGTACTCACCCTTACATTCATTTTTCAGGAAATCAAGACGATCAGCACCGGACTCAGTAAAAGGGTGGATGGAACTGCTATAGGACTTAGGACATTATTTTGAAAATTGTTGTATTTGAATAAGTCCTATAGCAACTGTTTGATAAAATTTGCAACCCTTTCTTTATTTGAAATGGTTAATGAAACTAGAATTAAAAATAGAAATTTATTATTTCAAAAATTTGTGAAATTCTTTATTTATTGAAATTAAATTTAAGGTGTTATAATTTGCGTTAGGTAAAATGATAATTTGATTTAATCTGTGATCTAGTTCAGTTAGGTTATTCAATTGAATTAATAGTTGAATTGGGTAAACGTTCGAATTCGGATTAAAATCTTTAGATATCGTGATAATTGTAGTTACATGCATTTGGTATTCTGTGGATTGATATTTCTTCATTTTTTTAACTCAATTTTATTATATTTGTAGTTTAATTTAATTAATTTGTAGATTTTAAACCCCAAAAGTATACTCGTACTTTTTAAAAGAAAACCTAAAATTAAATTTAATTGAAAATGTATTTTTGTGAATAGACCTAGGTTTAGCTCTATATTACAAAATCCTCATAAAAGAGCTTCCTTCGTGAACCTTTGCTGATCACTTTTGCAAGGAAAAGTGATTGTTTCAGAGAGGAACATCAGACTTCAACCTCTACGTGGTTCCTTTCTTGAAAAATAGTGATTCCTTTCATTAATCAAAGCCCTTTAAAAACTCACATAACTCACTTATTCAATTCTAATCCCTTCACTACACACTTACAATCATAAAACTCAATTCACTCAACAAATTAACTTTAAAATGCAGAAAAATGCATAATCATAGCAATTAAAATTGCAAACATGAAATGAAATGAATATCAAAATTCAAGTACAACTACAAGTAAGGTAAATTGGTTCATAAATGTGAGTTGTTTCTCACAAAGCGCTATTTTAATGTCACTAGCTTGGCGTTAAATGTTCCTCACTGTTGAGGAACCAAGTTAATGCAAAAATTATTCCTTATGAATTCTCCTCCATCATAGATCTTTAACCTTTGGCCATTTACTTTAAATTCTCTCCCTTCTTTCTAGTCTTCAAGTAACACAGCACCAAAGGGAGAGACTTCTTTTACCATAAAAGGTCATGACCATCTTGACTTGAGCTTTCTAGGAAATAACTTTAATCCTGAATTGAATAGTAGAACTAACTGCCCTGGTCTGAATTCTCTCTGCAAAATGAATTTATCATGTATTCTTTTAGTTCTTTCCGTATACAGTTTTGCATCTTCATATGCAAATTGTCTGAACTCCTCAAGCTAATGTAACTACAACATTCTCTTTTCTCCAGCATTGGTTAAATCAAAATTTAACTATTTAGTAGCCCAGTTTGCTTTATGTTCAAGTTCCACAGGAAGATGACATGCCTTTCCAAACACTAATTGATATGGTGACATACTAATTGGTGTTTTGAATGCAGTTCTATATGCCTATACTGTGTCATCCAATTTTCTTGACCAATCCTTCCTCAAACTATTAACCACTTTTTCCAAAATTTTCTTGATTTCTCTGTTAGAAATTTCAACTTGTCCACTAGCTTGAGGATGGTAAGGTATGGTTATTCTGTGTTTTACTCCATACTTTTCCAGTACAAATTCAAGGTATTTGTTGTAGAAGTGGGATCCTTCATCACTTATCAGAATTCTTGGCACCCTAAATCTTGCAAATATGTTCTTCTTTATTAATGAAATCACCACTTTAGCTTCATTTGTTCTGGTTGGTATAGCTTCAACCCACTTAGACACATAACTCACTGCCACAAGTATATATTCATGAGAAAAAGAGGTTGGAAAGGGTCCCATAAAGTTTATTCCCCACACACATCAAACAGTTCCACCTCTAAAATGTTGTTCAACGGCATTTCATGTCTTCTAAAAATGTTGTCCACTCTTTGGCATTTGTCACAGCTCTCCACATAGGCTTTTAAACCCTAAACCTTTTATATATATATATATTTTCTAATTGGTTTCAAATATAAAAATGATTTTTTGGTCTATTGATACTTAGGCCAAATCCATGAACTCAATGTGGTTATTCTTTTCTATTCTTAAAAATCCCCTAAGCCATGAATCATGAATTGTCTTATGACTCAAAAATTCGATAGATTCATTTTAAAAAGAACTATTCAAGAAATAAATGATCCCCTTTCTCACTGTAGGCGAGAAGAAGCCTGCTTGTAAGACTTTAGCAACTGTCCTAGAACCTCCATGATGGCCTCCATAATCTGAATTGTGGCAGTGCCATTGGATATCAACTTGCTCTTTCTATGGAATACATCTTCTCAATATACCATCCACTCCAATTTTGAATAGATGAGGATCCTCCCAAATAAAGAACTTGCTGTCATGAAGAAACTTCTTTCTCTGCTGCCAACTCATTCGCTTTGGAATATGCTGAGTAGCCTTAAAGTTTGTTATATCAGCAAACCAAGGTAATTCTTCCATAGCTACTAGCTTTTCATCAGGGAACTCCTCGTTAATGTCACAACAATTTGATTGTAGTGCTTCCAAAGATATTCTGGATAGATGATCTGCAACACCATTGTTCTTTCCCTTCTTGTCCTTGATTTCCAATTCAAATTCTTAAAGTAGCAGGATCTATCTCAGCAATCTTGGTTTGGCATCCTATTTAGAAAGCAAGTATTTCAAGGCAGCATGGTCAGTATATACCACAACCTTTGATCCTACCAAATAAGATCTGAATTTATCAAAAGCAAACACTATAGCAAACAACGCTTTTTTAGTAGTTGTGTAATTAATTTGTGCAGAATTTAGGACTCTACTAGCATAGTAAATCACATGTAGTCTTTTATCTCTCTTTTGTCCTAATACAACACCTATTGCATTGTCACTTGCATCACACATTAGTTCAAATGGTAAAGTTCAGTCAGGTTTAACAAGTATTGGAGCAGAAATCAATTTCTCTTTTAAAATGGAAAAAGCATTCAAACATGGTTCATCAAATACGAATTCTGCATCTTTCACAAGCAAGTCACTAAGAGGTTTGGCAATTTTAGAAAAATCCTTAATGAACCTCCTATAAAACCCTGCATGACCTAAAAAACTTCTAATTCCTTTTACATTCACAAGTGGAGGTAATTTACTAATCACTTCTATTTTAGCTTGATCAACCTCCATCCCTTTCACAGAAATCTTATGGCCAAGCACTATTCCTTCTTGAACCATAAAGTGACATTTTTCCTAATTCAACACCAAATTGGTGTCTTGGCATCTTTGCAAAACAATGGACAAGTTAGATAGGCAGTCATCAAATGAATCTCCAAACACAGAAAAATCATCCATGAATACTTCAATTATTTTCTCAACTAAGTCAGAAAAAATAGCAAGCATATACCTTTGAAATGTGGTTAAAGCATTACAAAGCCCAAAAGGCATCCTTCTATATCAAAATATTTCAAATGGACGAGTAAATG